AAAACCACCACCAAGCACATTTTCAGCCGGGGGGCAGGTGTATGGCGGTGCACTGAGAGAGGCAGTCCTGTGCCCACCATGCCCCCCTGGCTCCACCAGCGTGGGGTACAGGCTGCTCCGTGTGCAGGGCCCTGCATGGGGGGTCCTGCCACCATGCCCACCCTGCTCCGAGGGGAGCCAAGGGGCCGAGGAGCTGCCCAGCAGCCCTTTGCCCCCGGTGTGTGGCCTCCCACGGATGCAGACGTGGCACAGGGGCTCTCACTGGCTCCGGGCGCAGCGGGACGCAGGCGAGAGGTGTGTAGTGTAGCAGTGGGTGCAGACACGGACTGGTCTCTGCTGTCCGTAGTGCGGCAGTGCCGCGGCATGTGGTGAGCAGCGAGCACAGAAGATCTGCAGGAGAGGGGCAGAGTGAGGCAGAGCAGAGCCAGATGCCCCAGGGACCCCACACACCCCAGCCTAGCCCTGTCCTACCTTCCCACAGCTGCGGCAGTGGTGCCGGCGGCGCAGCAGGGTGAAGGGCGAGCGGCAGGCAGAGCACTGGCTGCACGTGCTGTCCGGCACCCACTCGGGCAGGTGATGGGTACCTGCCAGGCAAAACACGTGGGTAAAAGCCCCTCAACTCCAGACTCCATCACAGCCAGACCCCATCAGGCAGAGTGGAGGCAGGATCAGCCTCAGCTTCACACCTTGCCCCACCTGGGCAGCCCCTTACCTGCCCTCCGGAGCCCAGTAGCCTCCGTGGGGCTGGAGCACAGTGGGCAGTCAGCCATGCGAGGAGCATCTGCCACACAGGAGTTGGCACCCTTCTCTTCTGCGGGGACAAAGGCTCTGGTGGTCCAGCCAAACCAGGGTACTATGGCTGCATAGTCCCCATGCCTGGGGCTGTGGCCTTGTCTCACCAGGGATGGGTGATGGGCAGGGCAGAGAGGAGCAGTCCCTCGCATCCCTGGGAATTACTCACGCCTGGCACTTGACTCCTCTGAGGGTTCCGCTGGTGAGGCCACGATCTTGAAGACTGTTTTCAAGATGCTCCGCATGTCACTGGCAAAGTTGGTCTGGAGCTGATCAGCCACCCCTGCACCAGGAGGGTCAAGGGTCAGGGAGCTGGGAGGGGAGTGTCAGAGTGCTGGGGGGGTCAGGGGGGTCACTCACCTGAGATGCAGACGAAGAGGGTGTGCAGCATGTCCTTGGTGCTGCTGTAGCGGGAGCGCAGCTCCCAGCAGTGAGTACCTCGTGTGGCATCGAGCCCTGTTCCCGGGCAGCTCCTGAGGAGCTGAGGGCTGCACAGAGGGGAGGTATCAGTTATCCCAGGGGTGGTGTGAGAATTCCCTGTCACAATGGATAGGGATCTGCCCTCCTGGTCCCGCTCCCTGCCCGCCACACAGCCCCACCGCCATGCCCGGGTG